CATACAAAGTTAAGTTGGTGCACGAGTTGAATGAAGATGATTTTGATCGTCGTCTAGAGTTTTGCGAATCAATGACGCAATTTATCAATAACAATCCACAGTTGTTAAACAATATTTGCTTTTCTGATGAATGCTCATTTTCATTAAATGGCTTAGTAAATAGGCATAATTGTAGATATTGGGCTGAAAGTGATCCACATATTATGCGTGAATTCCATACCCAACATCCCCAAAAGTTAAACGTTTGGTGTGGTATCCTAGGTGACCACATTGTCGGACCTTTCTTCATCAACGGAAATTTAAATGGTGAATCATATCTTGAGTTGCTCAGGGAAGGGGTTGACCCACGTATTACAACAATAATAGAAAATGATGGTAACCTTTCCGAAGATTTACTGGTATTTCAACAAGACGGAGCTCCCCCACACTATGCTATGCCTGTCCGACAATTTTTAAACGGAACATTCCCCACTCGTTGGATAGGTAGAAGAGGGCAGATGATGGAATGGCCACCTAGGTGACCGGATTTAACACCCCTAGACTTCTTTTTATGGGGGTATTTAAAAACAAAAGTTTATGCTACCCAACCAGAATCTCTGGATGATTTACGAGAAAGGATAGAAAATGAATTTCGACAATTAAATCCAGCCGTATTAAGCAATGTCAGAGAGGCATTTCAAAATAGATTATACCATTGTATGGAAGTGAATAGTACTCATTTTCAACACTTATTGTAACTTCATAATAAATAGCACAGTTAAAAAGATTAAAGAGTTTGAACTGTTGTACAACCCATTTTAGTACAGGCAAATGAGGTGAAAGTAAAAAATAAGTAAAATTTGTGCTATTAAAAGAAAAATTGTTTATCTCATAAACTAACCATTTTAACGTACATGTATCATACATTTTTGAAATCAGCTCAAAGAGGAGTATCCAAGTTTTACATAAAAAATATGAGAAGTAATTAAAAAAAAGGGATGATGCTAAGGGTGAGGGGGTGGCTTTTCCAGTGAGTTTAAATAAGCCATAATGCTTGCCCCTTCCAACATAAATTGACGTGTTTTTGGATTTTTCGTAAATACCAGTATTACAAAAGTTATTAAAGGTGGATACTTTTATCTGAAAAGCACTGTATATTGGTGAATGTAATGAATCATTGTTAGTTTATTGTATTACTTTGAGAATGTTCATATAGGACGAAACTGCAGTAACGTTAGTTACAATTGAAAGTGGTGAAAAACAGAAATTTTCATATCTCTTTTCATTATGATCTCCTACCACGTAGTAACGGCTACATCCATCAATTTATTATAATTTTTTTCACTTACTACTATTTCTATTCACTCCAACTCCTACGATCCTTCCTTCTGTTTGAAAAAAACAAATCAAACGTTGACATACCACCAAAGGTGAATACAAATTGATCTGTTTCTATAAAAAATTGTGACTTCAAATCCAGAACCGCATGCGAACATAGCGGTTGTAACTACCCGCCATTAATCACTGTTGAAAACAGTATTGGTCGGGTCAAAGGGTCAAGAAACGACCACTACGATTATTATCGTCAGGGATGTAATTTATGAATCCCACTTTGAGTGAAGTCGGGTTGGAAAACGACGAATCTGTTTAATGTTTTGCCTTTCAACTAAATGGATTGGAAGCCTCTGTCCGCGCCCTTTAGGATAGGGGTGAGTTTTTTGGATCAAGTCTGAAACTGAATCGATTTATAACGAACTCTTAGGGGATGTTTCAGTGTCTGAGATTTTTCGGGCATTCATTCGTTTTATATCGAGGTTTGTTAAGAGCTTTACATTTCACCCTTTTTGAACTTTGTACAATAGAAAAATATGGGAATCTTCCAGAGGAAGAAAGAAAGCAGATAATTTCATAATGAACTCTATACAAAGATGTGTTGTTTACGCAAAGAAGAACTACTTCATAGAACTACACAAAATAAAAAATATCCTCTTTCAGCGGTTGCAGGACATTGGAGTTAAAGGAAGGTCTCTCAAAATTTTCAAAGATTACTTATCTAACAGAATTCAGATAGTAAAAGTCAATGATTCATATAGTAATCCGCTACCTGTCAGCAAGGGCGTACCTCAGGGAACAGTAATAGGCACTATTTTATTTCTGCTCTATCTAAACAATATTTTTAATATCAGCAATTTCAAAGGAAAACTATTATCCTACCCCGACTATACTGCTGTAGTATTAGTGGGACGAACTTGGAATGACACATACGAAAACGCAAACAAAGGAATGAAAACGATTTATAACTGGCTAAGTACTAATCTATTGAGTCTCAACATAGATAAAACTGAATTTATAACTTTCCCTTCGACAATAAAAAACCAACCTGACGAAAACTTCATTATGATTCACAAATATATGTGTAATGAAAACCAAAACTGTAGATGTTCCCGAATATGTAAAACAAATACTATCAGATATTTAGGCGTGTCTGAGCGACCAGTATCTACGCTGGAATGATCACATAGATCACATAGTAAAAAAACTCCGCAAACTAATTCGGAAATTTTACCAACCCAACTGAAAAGTATCTTGAGTAGAGATATCATTCTGACGGTGTACGGTGCCTTAGTGGAGTCGATGATTAGATACTGCATCTAAGTATGGGGTGGTTTATTCAAAACATCACTACATAATCTTGACGTAATACAAAACACACTGATCAAAATCACCTTGAAGTAGGATAGGAGATATTCTGTTACTCTACGAACAAAGTGGTTTGTTCAAAGTTAGAAAATTATACGCTTCTCAATGTTTATTATGGATTTGCAGTAACCCCACTAAGATCATTACATATAAATATAATACGCCAATGACCTCCCACCAAGCAATTATAATACAACGCTGGAGATTGAGTCATAACCAGAAATTTGTAACTTATTTTGGCCCGAAATTATACAATAAGCTGCCACTCCATATGAAGAATATTAATAATTACTCTAAATCAAAGAAGGAACTGAAAGTTTTTATCAGAAATCGTTATGATCAATTGTAGAATATCTTTGAAAATGTTTCAGCTCAATTACCTGATTTCTTTTTCTTCTTACCTCCCTCTGGACATCTCCAACTGCGGTTTCAAACCTAGTAAGGGAAAGTAATACACAACCAAACGACCTATTATAGCTATTGTAGTTATTGTATCATTTAACACAACCAATATCAGTCTGTAACAGCCACGCCACGACACAAGCCTAGCTTAGGTGGCTACATATTGTCTAATACATGACTCTATGATGGAATTATTAATGACAAAATTTGAATTGTAAATCACAGGGAAATCAAATCATGTAACTGTAACCAACATTTAACCAATGTAACACGTAACCAATCTGGATACTGTTATCTAGAGAACAAGTTGAAAAACTCAATTCATTCATAAAATTATTTCATGTCACGAATGGGTTTAATCTACTCATGCCAGCTATAGGAATCTTGTTCGAATTGAAAGGGGTATATTTTTTGGAAAAATAAATTTTTGAAAATGAAAGGTTTATGCTTTTTACTTTTCTATATTTTTATACAAAAAAAATGTAGAAATTTTTCAGATCTGTTTTCCCCATCACCCACTTCTGCGAGTTTATCTATTTCGATTTCGTTGATATTATTAAGTAATATTATAACCATTTTCAAAAACTGACGTAGAATTAATGACTGTCAATTTCACAACACATATAGAGTGTGTATGTTTCATGTTTTATTTCTATACTCATTTTATTTTGCCAATATAATCAATTGTAATTTCATTGTCTATTCTTTTTTTCCGAAATTATCACAGGTCCACTTCTATGAAGAATTTGTCTCTGACTAATTCAAACATACAAATTCGTGTGATTCCCAAGAGGAATTGGAACATGGATAACAGTGCGTAACAGTGCGTGTCATTCATTCACTTATTTATTCAAACCCAGCCATAGGAACCTTGCTTGAATTGAAAGAGGTATAATTTTTGAAGAAATTAATTTATTGGATAGGAAGTTTTTTACTTTCTACTTCTTCATCTTTGAAAAAAAATGTGATAATCTTCCAAATCTGTTCTTCCCAAAACTTACCTCTGCGAGTTTTTCTATTCCGATTTTTTTGATATCAGTTATCTGATAATCATGTAAATTTTATGACTGGCAATTTCACAACACATATAAAGTTTATGTTCCAAGTTTTATTTCGATACTCATTTTATCTTGACAGTATATTCAACTGTAATTTCATTGCCTATTCTTTTTATTTTCGAAATCATCACAGATCTTTCTCACTTCTTTAAAGAAATTGTTTCTGACTAATTCAAAAATAGAAATTCGTAAGATTCCCAAGAAAAATTGGAACATCGATAACAGTACGTAACGACAATCATTCACTTATTTATTTAAACCAAGAGAAACTGGAACATCAATAACAGAAATGACATTCATTCACTTATTCATTCAATCCCAGCTATAGGAACCTTGTTTGAATTGAAGGTGATATATTTTTTTGGTGAATTAATTTTTGGGGAACGAAGTTTTTTGCTTTATACTTCTCCATCTTTATACAAAAAAAATCCTCAAAATCTGTTTTTCCCAAAACCTACCTCTGCGAGTTTTTCTTTTTCAATTTCATTGATATCTTATAACCATTTTTGAAAACTGAAGTAGATTTTATAACTGGCAATTTCACAACATATATAGAGTTTATGTTTCATGTTTCATTTCTATACTCATTTCATCTGGCCAATATAATTTACTGTAATTTCATCGTCTTTCTCACTCCTTCAAAAATTTGTTTCCGACTAATTCAAAAACAGAAATTCATTAGATTTTCAAATGAAATTGGAAGTGTGGATGAAACATTTTAGAATCGAGACCCTGGGGAAAAACCTGTTTTCTCTAGGAGAAAATGTTATTTTATCGAATGTAAATGAATTGAAAATAAAATTCAAAGCTGGAAACAGCTCAAATTACCAAACATTACCTAATGCTGAACATTTGTTACAGGACACGGTGAACAAAATAACCCGAAGCACAGGAAAATCAAATTCGGAAATGATGCCATGGATTTTGTTCAGGGATTCGGATTTTCTTCTAGTCGTGATGTAGAATATCACCATTTGAAAAAGGAAGTATTCTTTGCAGAACGGTGTCAATGGAATATATCATTGGAGTGCTAGTAAACATTTGGACTGATAGGAAGAAAAAACTTTGTTTTCATTGTCTACTCTTGGAATCAATTATGTTCAGTGGAACATCATCTGAAGATTTTGCTTCATGTCTGTATCTGTATCTATAGAGTAGGGAGGGTAAGTGCATACCCACATTATTTAGGCCACATGTGACCCATAAAACATCCTCCCGAGGAGTTGTCCTCCTAGGTCATCGTCCATCCTGTCCTTTCCAGGAAGATGGACAGGTCACTAGGAGACATCTCCTTTATATTGGCAGGGGTAGGCCAAGACTCGCCGAACACACACTCTCTTTGGCAACCTTAAGGTGTCTCACGGTGGCCTCCGCGAAGGTTTTGGAAGATGCAGCGATAATACTGCCGTTGCGCGGCTTCTTCAACCTTCTTGGGGTTCCCTCCGTGGAGGTGCACAAGTGAGGGAACTTTCCTGCAGGAACAGCCGGTTCCTTACCTTTATTCAAGGCGGAGCTCTTGGGATCCGCCGCAAAAAATGCTCTTGCTGTTGGAGGTCGAGTGGGGAAGGCCTTAGCGCCGCAAGTGCGCTTACATCACGAGGTGATCTGCTATGTCCAGCTTCATTCCAAACGGTAGATTAGGGTGGACCGCCTTAGATTGAGGTCAGCACTTCTGTCCAGCCTAGAGATTGCTTTTGGTTTTGTCATTTCTGTTTTTGTGTTTCTTTCTTTCATGTGTGTTTCCACAAGTGGCAAGGACGAAGTTGGTCACCTCTGGCAGAGCCCCGTATTACCAAAGGTAGGCTGATTACGAGGAGGTTTTGCCCAATTCCCCAAGGGGCTTCAAAGACAGGGCCTCCAGTCCCCTGGCCGTTCCCCTATTCACCAACGGGGGACACGACCGATAGGTAGCCCAACCCACGGGTTGGGCTTCATGGAATCAAATGTGAGAATGGTTTGGATGGTTCTGGATTCTTCACAACTGTTCCGCGTTCATCACCTCTACCGATTACCAGCACTATTGACTTTAGAGTTTCCTCTATCTCTCTCTCTAATGAAGGGTTGTTAGATCATCTTCCGGCATGTCGTTTGTTCCTTATTTCATAAAAGCTAATGTTTAGCATTCGCTAATAGTCCACTGTTTTCCATGAAAATAACATCATTTTTTGCAGTGAGTTTTATTGAGTTTCCGAATATATTTTCTTCGTGGAACTGAGTGTCATGAACAGGTTCAGATTTCAATATATTTGGTTTCACATGCTTATTCCAATTATAAGTACCTTTTAGATACAGCTTTGTATCAATACCTGAAAATTCTAGTCTTGCAAAATAAAATTTTGTTTCACAGAATTATCAAAGTCTTTTTCGAATGTTTCGATTTTGTGAGCTATTGAATGAAAATCTCACAGAGTATCGGCCGGTTCCGTCACAATTCCAAAAAATATATTGTTGAAAAGCCATGAAGTGAGACGTGGAGTATTATTTAGGAAAGTAGTTACAGGGGAACAACAAGAAACTCAATCACAATTCATTTTAGTATAGTTAGCATTGTAAAGCTAACATTGAGTGGCCTCTGTGCTCACCAGATTTACGTTCTCTCGATTTCTTCTTAGAGGTACATACAAAACGAAATTAGAACACAAACTCAGCATCTTCAGAAGAATCTCATTGAATTCATCAGAAATAACCTAATGACTTTGAAAACGCTTCTTATATCCGTGTTAGGAACCACACGTTGAAAGGTAAGACCTCGTTAGTCCTTAGCTCGCATAAGTTTCGACTTCTGAGGGTTGTTGTTCGTAGGGGTGCGACAGCTGGTTAACGGAAAAACAGATTGTAAACAGATATGGTTACTACTCCAGATGGTATTGTTGTTTTTGTTACATGAATTGCGTCAAGTTATGAAAATCCAAAACTTGAAATAGTTGATTCTGAGAAATCATTGAAGGCAAAGTTTTCTTTTTCTACCTTGATTGAAAATGGAAATCATTTAGCAGGATGCTCAAATGTTTTTAACAAATGATTCGTTTCAGAATTGTGTCGGTTTATGATTAAGTTGAAGAAGATTCACCTACTTGAATGAAAATGTTACAAACTATGTTCAAATCTTGCGGAATATGAGTGATTGAATCTTCATGGCCATGTGACAATGTCATGTATATTTACTTCACATTGTATATTCCATCACTAGATTCACTGAAATTATTGTTTATTCAGCAGAGTTTTTTGAAATTGAATGGCCATTCTCTGTGAAATGCTCTAACTGATCATTTTTAGAATTGGGCTAGCATTCAATACATCGACTGGAAATTATTCTTTGCCATACATTGAAAACACAACAAAGTTGGGTATTTTTTATCTTGAGAATGACCATTTGAGGTGAATTTTCTATAGAGCCCAACTGAATAATTCAGAATGTATGCCACATTGTTATTCGTTTGTACAAAATATATGTTTGGAGTCATTAAAGCAAATAACCAAATATAGACAATCGATTACTCAATAGACATTAAGTATTCAATAAGCTTGTTATCTGTTCCTCTTCTAGTCAATTTTTATGCTTTTTTATACAATTTCAATTGCTTCAAGACATTGAAAACTTCGAAGGCTGTCGATATAGTTATAAGTTAGAATATTAAATGGAGTGTGTTGGAATTCCACAAAATAGCGTCACAAATATCAATCTGTTCGAAGTATTTCTTCCGTCCATCAAAGCTTCTGAAATTCCATCAAAAATCATCAACATGAGAGGTCTAGTAGTCTCAGGTTCTCAATTTCACCAATATTTCACAAGATCATTGTGAAATGATATTCATAATATGCATGATGTTCTAGTTCACTGAAGGAAACTCATTATACAGGGTGAGAAAGTACATTATCTCGGCTATAATGAGAAGTATGATCAAAAGGTTTCTGATAGAAGTTATATGGTTTACTTCATTGCTTGTTTCAAAAATTTACTAAAATTTAGCGGTTTTGTCAAGTTATTGCTGGAAGTAAGAAAATCTTCTAAAAAACAAACCACCTAAAATGCCACCAGAAAAAAATTTTTGATAAAATTCGAGCAGAATTATTTGGAGCATGCAACATCAAGAGTAAGTTGAAATGTTGGTAAGGACTGAAAGTTGCATTTATCAAATAGAAAATTTCATACAGAGCTATTTACTTGACAATCTTTGATTATCGAAAACTTGGATTGATTTAAATGTAACTCCCAGTATGTTATGTCATCATTTTTAGAACTATTTCATCCCTATGAATTTGGATAAGATAAAATAGACTCTGAAAGTGACACACTGAGGCCGGAGAACAACCCCTTGATGTTCGCAGGGACTGTCTTTCCTTAAGTTATGCCGCAAGAGTAGCCGCTTCCAAAAACCATCCTTCCTATCGATTTACATTCTCAGATCATTTCCAACATATCTTTGAACAAAAACAAAATTACCCCTTACCTTTTTATGTGAAAATTTGCCTAAGTTTCTGATAACCATATAGACTTTCCAAATATTCTTCCTCTTGACTTGAAAATTCCCCCTCCATGGACATTACCAATTACTTCCTGTAATACCTATCTCCTCAACTTTCCCAAATACGATACCCCTTCAAATTTCATAAAGAAATCCTTCGCCGAACTGGTCTCCAAATATCAGCACTTCAAGCATATATACAGGCTGATTCACGGTGGATGGCACATTAGACGTTTCTGGTGAACCAGACAACGGATCACTTTGAAAATTTAATGGAGGGCATATTCGGACATTCTCTAGCCAACTAAAATATTTTCGACAATGCGGTGTTGCCGCTTCTATTAGAAAGCAGTAGCAACTTTGATTTTTCAAA